CCAACATTAGAAAGCCTCTTCTTAATATCCTCATTTTCTGTATAGCACATATGAAACAAGTTTTAATATAAATATCAACAGACAACAAACAAATTTTCAATTAAGATAATCCAGAATTACCAAATATTTTTTTACCACTTATTCCAACATCTATTCCTATCGTCCTTCACTTAGGCATAAGTAAAGTATACAAGTACAAGAGAATAAACGGACGATTCACTCAAAATACCAATTTTATTTTGGACATGAACCAAGCAACACTGATGTGAAATGTTGAGATTGACATTACAATTGACATTGCTTTTACTTATTTAAAGGAATTAATAAAGGATAATATACCAAAGATGCATGAATTAATTCTCTCATTCCAAAAATAAAAGGCTAAGATTCAACATTCAACTCCAAATAGGTTCTCGAAATTACTATTTAATTTTTTTTTTAAATGCTCAAGCTTTTAATCTAATTTTCGAATATGTAATTGTGACTCAAATATTAGTTCAACAAACCAAATACATTTGGGTGGTGAAAAGTTAGATTTTTAAGATAATCCACCATTGTTGAACACACTTAAATAAGTGAGTTTAAATTTCGAATATGATTTTGTTAGAAATTTGAAGTGGATGTTGTTTAGACTTGTTAGAAATAGTATAAGGAGGTTGTATACAAAATTTGAAGTCATTTAATAAAGATTTAGACTGGTCCACCATTGTTGAACACACTTAAATAAGTGAGTTTAAATTTCGAATATGATTTTGTTAGAAATTTGAAGTGGATGTTGTTTAGACTTGTTAGAAATAGTATAAGGAGGTTGTATACAAAATTTGAAGTCATTTAATAAAGATTTAGACTGGTCCACCATTGTTGAACAAGCTTAAATAAGTTTATTTAAATTTCGAATCTGGTTTTGGGAGAATTTTGGAGTGGTTGTCCTTTAGACTTGTTAGGAATAGTATAAGGAAGTTGTATACAAAAATTGAAGTCACTTAACAGAGATTTGGAATGGTTTTGAACAAAAATTGCAACTGAAAATCGTAAATATACAGACGTTTTGTATAAAGGTGTATAAAAGTGTATAAGAGGTATTTATACACCCATATATACTATTATACAATATTATACATCATTATACAAAAAGTGACTTCATATTTTTCCTTGCGTCTTTCTGAAATTTAACTCAAATCTTGCTCAAATCTAATCCAAATCACTTCAAATTTTAATTTTGAACTCCTCTTGAGATTTTCAATCAATTGGAACAACATCCAATACTAACAAACTCAAAAAAAATTATTTTCGAAAGTGAAGCTTTGATGACCGTCAAAGGTGGACTTCTATTCTTCAATTTTATGTTCTTCAATTTTCTTACATCCACACGCCATTGCAACTAGGTGATACATTTATAATTTTGCAAATATGTAGCCCAAAGATAATAGGCCAAGGTTTTAAAAAAATCAATTTTTTCACACAATCAACTACTATTTTCACACAAAGATAGCATAAAATGCAAAGCAGAAGCTCCAAACAACTAAATCGGGTAGCTTCCAATAATTTTCTTTTCAAATCATGTACACATTTGGCTATGTCGGGTAAAGATTTGAAATATGGGCCAATTTGCGTTATGTGTTCCAGCAATGTGATTCTAAGTGTAATTGGTCCTTGTTTTTAATGAATATGGGCTATATCAGTACAAACAAAAAGGGAGAGAAATTCAAAAATAGCCGGATTTACAAGTGGTAATTGAAAAATAGTTACAGTTTCAAAAGTAATCGAAATTTAGCCACTTTTCATGAAAAGATAAATCTGAACGAAAGCACTGTTCAAAATCCGAAAAATATTCCAGCATAATATACTGGAGTTCCAGTATAATATACCGGTCCAGCATAATATGCTGGAAGTTCATACACATGTGCTCCAATCTCCAACATATTATGCTGGAACTTTCCGCGTGTTGGAATTCCAACATAATATGATGGAAGTTCATACACAGATGCACCAATCTCCAGTATATTATGCTGGACCGGTCCGTGTTGTAGCAAAATAGTGGCTATTTTTCAATGACTTTACAAATACTGACTATTTTTGAATTACCAGTCCGAAAACTGGCTAGCAAGTGCTATTTTTACACAAAAAGGGCAAGCTACAAATTTTGCAAGTTGGCCAAAAATAATTACATCGCTAGCCAAATATACAAAAAATTATACATTGATTATGTATAAATATATATATTATATATTAATATATAAACAAATATATTTGCTGGTTATTATTTTTGGGAGCGACTATATAGAGTAATCTCCCAACAAAAAATTATAAACCTAAATAATAATGTTATTTTCCTTGTAGTACGTAGGAAAAATTACAAAAAATATAAACTTGGTCTTTACTTATTGTTTAGTTACTCACACCATATCATATCTAATTCCGAGACAATGTCCTTTTTGCTCAAATAACTCCATTGAGCTTATTGATTCGTTTTGATATAAAGGGTTGTGTTTTCATCCATTATTAAATACTATAGATACTAGTATTATTAATTGCCTTTTACTTAAGTTGGTATATCGTCGGTACCCTTATCATGAATAATTAATCGTGTTTGTTAGACACAATATGACAATAACCATATTTTAAAAAAGTTCTGAGCTATACTAGTACAAACTAAAGTTATAGACTTTTACCCAAAATTTGTTTTTTATAGACATACGTAGGAAAATAAAAGAACATAAACTTGGTCTAGATAAACACTCCGAGAGTGCATAATACAAGAGTATGCGGTGTTCGATGGACTCACTTTTGGGGCTTCGTAAAATACGTATACAGTCAAATCTCTCTATAACAATCACATATGTTCCGAATTTTTTTAGTTGTTATAGCGAAGTGTTGTTATAGAGAATGTATTGTAGACATATAAATTTTATTGGAATTAAATTCGTAAGATAATTTGGACTATATTTTACATTCAGGATATATTAGTTCAAATAAACTTATTGGATTAATATAATTGAATTAATTATATAAGTCCAATATATATGGATTAAATAAATAATTCTTAATCCATTGGGCTAGCCCATTTAATTAGGCTAAAGTGATGAGCCCACTTCATCAAGCCCAAGATGTCATTTTCCTAGAGGCCCAGTTTGGTGCCACGTGTCGTATGACGTGGCACGCCAAGTCAAGCGGAAGAGCCAATAGGATCATGTCACGTGTCAAAATGACAAGACATGCCAAGTCACATTAAAAGGCTAATAGAATCGCGCCACGTGTGCAAGTGACATGTTCTGGCCAATTAAATGCGGCTATGTCACACTTCAATTTGATTGGTCGGAAAGAGTTTGTTCTTATCATAACTCCTCTCTCCCACAACTATAAATAGGAGTCTTCATAACTCAGGAAAAAAAGACCAGAAGTTATAACAAGAAACAAGAGAGAGCTCGTGGATCAAACGCTGAAAATTCCTCCACAAGTTTCAAGCTTCAAGTAATCAAGTTCAAGTTCAAGCTCAAGCTCAAGAACGAAGAACAAATCAAGTTCAAGCTCAAGAATGAAGAACAAATCAAGTTCAAGCTCAAGAACGAAGAGCAAATCAAGGTTCAAGGAGTACGAGTTCAAATCAAAGTTCGTGCTAGTTGAATTCAAGATCATCGTTCGTGGAAACAAATATAGATTCAAAATCAAGCTCAAAGGCCCTTGAATTTATTTACTATTGGAAAGAAGAATCAGTTTTCGGTCTTGATTTTATTTTCTTGACCCAAATTTATTGTCTACACGTATATTAACAAACATTGCATGAAAATTGGTTCCATAAAAAACTTAACTTTTATAGTGAATAACTGTTATATAGTGATACTGTTATAGAGCTATGACTGTATTAATGCAAGGAGACTGCTTGCCTATAGTCCTAAGTTCTATAAAGCCTTCCTTTCCATATTTTTATATGGGTTTTTTTACACAAATAGCCGGTCATATTATATACATGTAATACATAAATTATGCATATATTGTACATTCACCGACTATTTTTAGTTTAAGTGGTAGGGTGAGCGGCTATTAGGGTTAATTCTTCTTTTTATACCAAGGCCTATATATTTACAAAAAAAGCAAATGGGGCACTGTTGAGAGTTACTTACAAGTCAAAAAATTTTACCCACAGTGCCAAAAAAGCATTAATTTGTCACTCTCTTCCTGCTTCTATTGCTTCACCATTAGTAGAGGTTGTCAAAACTATCACAAAAATTGACTCCTAGACGCCAACGTTATCACCTGTAGCATGTCTGAAATCAGTTCTTCTTACCTTCAAGATAATCATTACGCCATCGCCTTTTCAGTTTAGGAGCCACATTGCTATCTTGCTTCTCCATTGTGTGTTTAGAAGTTGACTCTACTTTGATACTGCACTTGGATACCTCAGTTAAACTTGAGCTTATGAATGACTTTATGTCTGTCTTTCGCTTAACTTCAATCCATTTGTTATCTATCCAATCTCTTGAAGCCCTCACATTCTTCATTTGAAATTCCAACAATCTGTTCTCACCTATTATTGAAAAAAAAAAATACTTTGGGACGTCAAGTCATGACAAACATTGAACATCCAGAATTCAGACAACAAATTAGCCAGAAGCTAGGCCTACTTTTTGAGCTTTTTCCACTCCTATGTTAGATGACAATGCTGAGCTTAGACCTGTGATTTCAAGTTAGATTTGAAGTAATTGGAAACTCCAATGTTACATCCATAGGCTGTTGAGTTAGTTCCTTATAAGAAGATGTTATGCCGCATCAGCCAATAAGCGAGAATTCTCCTTTTATTCTTGTTCTCTATTTCTATTTTGACTTTTTAGTTTTTTTGGTGCTCTTTGGGACTGTTATATCTTCATCAGTAAGGGGGTNAAAGGACAGGTCAATATATATTTTTGACATAAATGCAAGTAGATCGTAGAACAGATTCAAATTTTCTCCCTTTTGTATTTACGAATATTACTGCATATAAACTGAAGTTATAGTCGCAGTGATTATGGTACCTCTAGCTTCCCTGGACCGTCACAGTCCTGAATGTCATCATACTGAACTTTCAGACGTTTATGTAAGACCTGTAAGACCTTACACCTGAACCAGCAGCCTCTCATGCCACTGTCCTGACAAAGAAACTCTATGTTGTCACCAACTTCAAAAGACAGCTTACATTGGACCTTGGGCCGAACAAGCTGAATTCCAACTAGTCCTCTGCTTGACAATTTTATTTTCAACTTTTGGCAAGTTGGTTCGGCTTTTGCTATCTGGTTCCCAGGAATTGACTTTCTGATACCAGAATGGCTGCTCTCCAGTTTCGGACACTCCTTGACACTTGTACTCCTCCTTGGCCCTCGCTCTAAAGGATCTTCATGGGTTATATGTTTTACTTCATGCAACTTATGACCCTTTGACTTATGCTGGGAAACATGTTGACTGCGTAACACAGTAAATATCGTTTGATTATAGTAGCCATCCAATTTACTCAGAGAGACTGGCATGACCTTGTTGTGTCTGAATTCCCTAAAGCACATGTAGACACCAGAAGACGAGCTTTTTGGGACGAGAGAGATATATTTCTCATAATCTCTAGGAGTCAAAACTGCAGCAGGGCCATCAATACACTCCGCATTGATCACCTGAACATGAGATGTGATAAATACTTCTCTAGGGTGTCCCTCAAGCTGAGGAATTACACATCGAACTTTCTGAATATGGTGAAACCACTGCACCTTAACTTTTTTCTGCCCCTTGTTCTCGTATAAATCTTCCAAGTAACCAAGGTAGTGATTTTCTTCTTCGGCCATGACTTTCGCAAAGGAATTAATCTGCAGAAAACTAAGAAATTAAAGAAGGGAAAGAAATATGAGGTCAAGGAACTGATTTAATGCTACAAAGTGCTTACAGCTATTTTAGTCCCGTTCCTGCAAAAAGAAGGATAATGCTTAAGTTGCTGGGAGCAGGTCCAAGCAGTACCTGACCACAAAATATTTGAGTTTCTGGCCTTCAATTTTCTAGGAAGCAAGCCCTGCAATAGATATTTTTCCCTTCATTAAATGTAGTTTAACAAAGTCGAAACTAATCTCAAAGAATAGATCAACATATTTGAGACCTCATCAGCTATGTGGATCCCCCTATTAGGTAAACCAGCCATTAAAGAATTTCTCGTTTCACTTGTCAGGGTATCTGCAAGAGAAGGGAAGTCAAATTTACTAAAAGCAAAGCGGATTAAATTAAGAAAAAAATAATTTATAACTATTAGGCAAACATTCTTTAAGCAGTGATTTAACTGTACCCAGCATCACACAACTCAGAAAGCAAATAGCAACTTTGCAGCTGAAACAGCAATTTACCGGGAATTCAGCTAAAAACAAGAGCGTTCAAGGCCTATGATTCCACAGGCGGCTATGGAATAGATCATGTATCAGGTGTAATATAATCTTTCCCTATCTTTGTATTAGCTGAAACAAGGAATATAATTGGAAAACTCTCCTGCCTTCGACCACATTCAAGCAAGACAAGTAGCTATAATTAAAGGACATTAATTTAACAAAGTTCAGCCGCCTAGCCTACATTTCCTTAAAGAAAATCTATTCTAAAGTCGAGTATTATTGAATTAGGGTCATACTTGGAAGTACAAGAACATCAAGCACAACACAGAACATATATATCAATTGAAAAGCAAAGCAACATAGCAAGATTATGCAATCCGATTCTTCAATATTAATAAGATTACCAAACATGCATGATATTAAGGATCACACATAGATGCATAAGGAGAAATGGAAGAGGGAAGCAAAAGACAAAAATGAGAAAAAGTTTGCCGTTCAAGTCAAATACCAAAATAGTGTAAAAGGCACAGGGCAGACTCGTATTGACTAGGAGTCTAGGTCTACTAAAGATTCTACCCTATTTGGAAATGCAAAAGATCACAACCAGACAGCACCAAGATCACAATCAGACAAATTGTGACCTCATCATTTGCTTATATAAAACATCCCAATTGCATATCCTTAAAAAAATTAATTCTTCCTTGCCGCCACAACCCTACGTAGGGGCCAATCGACCTTCTCCCTCTTCCCTGAGGGAAGCGCGCCGCCTCCAGGAACCAAGGATTATTTCCTTGCATTTAGCCCCTTTCTCCTTCAGGGTGGAAGTTGAAAAGAGGTCAAACTGGGCCCTTGCACATTAGAGCAGGGATGATATCTATTTTTTGTTGGCCAAAACCACGCAAAAAGATGTACTAGTGCTATCCATCGAGAAAGAAAAAGATGTATTAGTTCCAATTAGCCCCTAGAAAGAACAGGACGACCTAGGAAAGTTCAAAGTAGTTACTTAAAGTAATAGAAACAAAGCTTAGAAACTCTTAAGATCAACAAGCATCAAAAACTACATTCTTCTTTGATTATCACCAATCAATCAAAACAGATACTGACAAAACAAAGGGTCTGAGAACTGTAACCTCCCCGTCTGTGAAAGAGTTAAAATTGACTTTATCAGGGAAAAAAGATATACAATTTTTAATGTTATATAGACATAGAAGGATAACAAAACTCTAAGATCGGATATCTCCAGGTATCAACACTTTTACCTCGATCTAGTTTTTTCTTTTTTTGATCGTCATATGCAAACATTTTTACCGTGATCTCTTCTCTGCGCAACACAAATACTATAAAAAGAGAAAAGATGGACTCAGAAGGTCAGATACACCTGCTGAGACTCCTCAGATACTAGTGATGATTGTATTTATATTATCTCCACCACAAGTGCAGTCAAACACATGGAAGTAAGCATTTTGGTATTACACAATTGCACCCTTTCCAAACTCAATTCTTTTTCCTTGGTAAAGATTCAGGTAATCTAATACTTTAAATCTCTCCATTTGGCGAATGAATATTATATATCAACTCCACTCTATACAGACCATCATATTTGATTGTTTTAAAGTGGTCCTCAACCTACTACAGCCCTCTTCGACTCCTTTTTTATCCAGATTTGGGACCGGCAATGTATTACATTAACACACATAGGCGGAGTTTCTACACAACTTTTCAACAATTTAAATTATTACATCACAATTCGAATTAAATACTATATTTTTCCTATAGGATTCTCCTCAACTTTTCTACTATAACGTCCCATTTTTACCAGCTCGATACCTAGAGATAGTTACCTTCTTAATCGCCATAACACATCAATCACGTAGCATGAAGTAAGACTGTGGGGGATCTTCTTAAAACAACTCATTTAAAATTTCTTTAAATAATTTAATGTTGACTCAGTAAAAAGGAATTTTTCTTTCATGATGTTAATAACATCATAAAAAAAAAAATAGTTTCGTAGTGAGGTGTCAATTTAACCATGATTAAGTATGATTCCAATCTTAAGATGTTAGGAAGCGCAAAATCAAGGTGTGAATATGTATTACTGAATTTGGTCTATTGAATAACAACAGAACCAATAGCATAATAGGAGTTGCGCCTCCACCCTGGATTTGACTCCTTTTCTTTTTAATGTTTTTTAACATCACATGTAAAAAATAAATTCGTGAGAATCACTCGACGGGGGACCTCCCTTATGAGTCAAATCGACTAATGCCATGAAGGTCAACAACTCAAGCCAGAACTGTAGAAAAGTGAATAATGATGCACCTTCTCTTCTGCCATTGTACACTTCAGAATATGATTATTACCGGATTCTTGGTCCCTATGTTGTGTAAGGGTTCCAAACGTTTCAAAAGTGATAGGTAGTAATGTTTCTCGGTACTCTATGTTCAGGAGTTTGGGTATTGGATGCATGAGCAATTGCTTCTTGGCCAACTGATTATTACATGATCCAATTTCGAACTGTATATTTTCACTTTTAGAAGTCTTCCTCTCTATACACATGTTGAAAATCACCGGATCATGATAACATAAATATGGCATCTAAACTTCTCACAGTAGAAGCCGACATCCTTAGCAACCTAGTGTAGGGCTTTTTCCACTTATACAATCATAGTCCTAAACAACTCCAAGGTCATTTATTATAAATACTTCACAACTAATGTAACCACTAAATACTTGATGCTTTTTGGTAACTAACACAAAACACAAAAAACTTGTGAGATAATATAAAGTATCTTAATTACAAATATTTCAGGAGGACATGGCTTTGCAGTAAAATTAGACCACTTACTTTAAATAAAGGCAACATAGTGTTAACAATAAGTTAGTACTTTACATGGGCAAGTAGTAAGGAAACCATGATCTGTATGACTATTTGTCTATTGCCTGGTGAAGAGAGTATAGAAGAGCCTCCCAAAAGGGAAGCACAAAATACCATGTCAAGTCCAAACTCCAAATCTCCAGATCAAAGAGTAACATAAAAAGAGGAGGTTTCCTTTCGTGCTCGCTAACACAACTGGTAGCTAGTGTTAAGACGTCACATGAGTGGTCATAACTATTGTTCTATATTAACTTATGTGCTTCAACAATTAAACGGGAGAGTTGAAGTTTAAATCACGTTGTACTTTAGGCTTTGGGATCGAATGACCCATCATGTTGCTGGACGGGTGTAACCTTATTTATCAAATTATTTCTCCTATTATCACCACAACTTGTAAAGTTCAAATCAGCCGAAGAAAAGCCTCATTCTCAAAGTATCATACTAAACCACAAACTTGTGTGCTGCACATTTGAAAGTACAACAACACACAGGCGATTGTGGTCAGAACAAGGAGCACAAAGTATACTTTCCTTGCAAAACAAAGCATAGTGAGGTAGTTACTTAGGAAGATACGTTCCTATTTATTCTTCAAACAAGGATCATCCGTCCCTGGGATACAAATAACTACCATCGCTCCACCACTCTAGGTTAAATCGAGATACAAAAGTAAATTGAAAATTCAGTTTGTGCCTGGAAAACTCAAGTCCAGAACCAAAATCCCAAAATAAAAAAAGGAACCGGAAATATTGTTCAACCATCTCTCTCCGCTCCCTCCCCAAAATCCCTCGGGAGGGAGGCTTCTTCATGGAAACAATAATTGAGACATAATTCAGTTTCTTTCCTGTCAAAGCATAAGATATTTCATCTACACTTCTACAGTTCATCAAAAAAGGATTTTTCATCTACGAATTAATTTGCAAAGCATTGTAGCAAACCAAAAGTTCATAAGATGTGAGACTGGGATTAACCCATCAAGGAGATAGTTTGGACATTCGCAGAACTTTTTGCTTTTAAACATGATCATAAAACATCTGCCTTCTCTGCATTGATCGGGTGTAACCAGCAGCCAATAATCTATTGTCAACTTCTTCCGAAAATGCCAAATACCAGAAACTAGAGCAATTCAATGTACATTTATGCCAATAAATACTGTAAATCTCATGTAACTGAAATCTTAGACAGCAACATGATTATACGTACTTGAAATAGGTGATGATTGGCGACGCTTTGAAACCAAAAACGTCAGCCATTCCACTACCTCTCGTCTTGTACGCCACTTTGTTCCAGAGTTTATAGTTCTTGTATGCCCAAAAGCATCCAAATAATCCTCTGAGACAACATATGTTATGTGCCTTATACTTCTTTCAGTACCCACCACAGCAAGGATTGACTCCCCCGAGAAACCCTTCAAGTAGTAGTGCACAACACGATGGCCCTTCTCTTGAGAAATAACCCGCTCTTCCCACGCAACAAATACATGATTATCTGCAGCCATCCTGATTTACACAGAGGACAAACAGTTTGGATTAATCGAAAACAACCACAGTTCCTAAACACCCTCATCCAGAAACATAAACAATGTTTTTCTAAAGAAACATAAACAATCATTTTGGGCTAAAGAGTCACGAGCAAGCATAATCCCACTAAGCTCTTTCACAATTTAGGACCCGATCAAAACGTGGCAAAACATTACACCTATTAAAACAAACAGAAATGTATGTAAGTAAAAACACCAGATACAAAGAACAGGTTTTTCCTTCCATCCCCCAGGACTTTTGGGGTAAGAGTTCAACTTGTGATGTTTAGGTTAGGCGCATATCACACGCCGTTATTTAAAGTGGAGAAGGGTAAAGGGGCGGACCCCCATTATCTACCGGAGTTTCAAACCTTGCGCCACTAGCCCTCGGGATTTCTCGGTTATGAAAAAAAACATCAGATACAAATAACAGGTTTTTCCAACGATTAGCTCCTGACAACCAACTAAACAAATGGAAAAGCAGCATCAAAGCACAAAACCCAAGTAAGCACAAAGAGGGTTTTGCTTAGTTTCAAAGATTAACTAACCTTAATTCCAGAAAGCTGTCAACAGAATATCAGACACAAAGAAGTGAAGAACAGGTTTTTTTCCATTGAAAAACAACAATGAAGCTAAAACCCACGTGAGAAACAAAAATGGGTAATGCTGATTTTAAAAGATTAAGCATGTACAAGAACATAAACATACAACATTGAAGCAGCATTGACCAGACATTAAGTGATCACATACACAAATAAGCTTAGGGTTGGAAATGGAAACAAGCAACAAAAAAGAACCCAAAAAAGAAGGCAGAATTCAGGGAGGGGAAAAAAGTAAGTACGTAACTCAGTAACTGACCTGAAAATAGCAAAAAGATTGTATCTTTTTTGGGGAAACAGAGGAGAACAGCTTCAGAGAAAAACCAGAGAAAGGTGATAAGTTGGGCTTTTTTCCACTACAAGCGGTGACGGTTAAGGAAAGATAATAGTACTAATAAAGAGTAAAAGAAGAAGAAAAAGAAGAAGAAGAGAGGTGGAAAAGGCAAGTGCCATGGCCAAGTGGTTGCAGGGGTTTGAAATTCCTTAGTGCCGCAGTGACATGTGGGAGCTGCAAACCGGAGGGAGAAACAAAATGTACTATGGACTACTACTAAACTGAAGCTTTTGAGTTTTGGCCTTTCACCTTTCTGGGGTTTCTTCTATTTGTTTTTTTAAATAAAACAAATTATCTTCTGTAAATCATGTAAAATAAAATTTTAGAGTTAAGTTATTTTTAAATAAAAATATGATATTATTTTCGGAACAGATTAAAAAAAAAAATAATTTTACATAAATTAAGGAGATGGATTAATTTTAACACTAAACTTTTAAATCCTTTTTAAATATAGTTTTACATATTTACTATTAATCTCAATTATAGTAAATTTTGTTTAAGAAAATCGTGATCAAATAAAAATTGATTGGCTTGTCATTTTTCAAGTAAGCAGTGCAATTTTATTGTTTTGGGTGTTTTTTTTTTTTGGGTATCTGTTTTAATGCCTTTCTAGATAAAAGGAGTATATTATTTAAATCTAATTGCTCCATTTGCCACCTTTTTAAGTCCAATTGTACTTAAATTCTTGTACGCAGTTTTACAAATTTCCATGTACTTATTAATTGGGTCGGGTCAGCTCAATCACAGCCCAATTCAACCCGATTCAGCCCGGTACGGTAGGGGGTGGGACGGGTTGGGAAGGGTTGGAGGGAGACGGGCGGGAACAAACATATTTTGATAACCGGTGCCCCGGAATCCGGCTAGCCCACTAACCCTTCCGGCCGGGTTTTTGTGTGTGTTTTTTTTTAAATTATGACTGTTGCCAATGGTCAAATCAAAAATGATCGTTGGGCAACGACCATTTTTTGCACTTCTAGCCATTTCGACATATCCCCTTATTAAAATATCCCCTCCACCTCCTAATAATTGATAAATTACATTCTTAGTCTTTTAATAACTATAAATAGCCTCCCCCCCCCCCCC